GAGCTGAGGTCTTTGCCGGCAATTTCCACGCTCCATCTGTGGAATCCGTCATGGCTCCCTCAGCCCTTCACCGTGGAGGCCTGTCACCTGCCCCATGGGGGAGCTTGGGAGGTGTTGAGGGGGGTCGGGTAAATGGGCTTTGCAAAGAGCGCTTGTGGATGGGGTGGGGTATATGAGGCATTGCAACCCCCCACCTTATTGCTGAAAAAAGACAAAGAGCAGCCGTGCTTCCAGAGGAACTGTAAAAGCACCTGAGGGGTCGTGGGCTGTTGTTTTGGTTGCAAATGGACCCGTGGGGATTTAGTGTCGGGGCATCTGCGTCGGCTCTAGCTTAAGCCAGTCGGGCACAGCGCATCCACAGCTTGTTGCTGGCTGAGCTGGATCTGTTTGTTTACTTTCAAATGATGAACATTAGTTTGTCTTAGACCTTCATTAAAATAAGTTTCAATTTTTTCAAGATTTTCACATCATCTTACCTGGTATGCCCCAAAAAACTGTTTTTCTCACAAAAGTGAACGTTGTTAAAGTATTTCAGAATCTATTTCAAGTAGTTTGTTAAAAACATCAAGCACTTTCAAAACCTTGTAAATGCTCCCATGAAGTATTTCAAAGAACCCTGACTGCAGTGCTTGACATCACAGGAGCGCCTCACAACTTTTATTGTTTTGCATTTGAAAGCTGAATATATGAGTGACTGAACAGGCGTAAACATGACCCTGGAGGGTGTCCAAAATGTGGTCAACACTTTCTGTGCAGCCCTCAAGTACAAGGCTTGTTGTCGCAGATGCTTTTTTATAAAGTATGTAAATATTTTTACTGATGTGAGGATAAGCAAGCTAATGAATGGAAATGGGTAAGTAATATACAAAGTATTAGTCTTTTAGTTAAGCAGGTTTTTTCTTATTACTACCTGGTAACTGGGACTACAAACCATCAGAACTTTACTAAAAAGCAGATTAGTGAGCATCGTTTATAAAACCTGAAAGGCCTGTTCTTGCTGCTGAGAAGGGACTCACGTTTCTTTCCAGATTTAGAAAATAGAGAACATTCCAACCATCAGATGCAGAGAGTCCGATGCTTTTATTTTTAAATCCTTTCTGTCTCTGATGTAATGAATGTTAGATCGTTTCTCACTCCATTTATATTTTGAGTTTGTTTTTTTAGACATTACCTGTTAAAACCTACAATACTCCAAGCACATGTCCTATACTCACACACAAGTGAAAATTTTACAATAAAAAAATCTTTTTGTGTCCACGTCTAAAAAGGTTTGGACACCATTGCTGCTAAGGACCAAGGAGCCATACTAGATGCTCTATGGATGAGCATTATTTTTTTTTTAAATCCATTAAAATTGGTGCTCAGAGGTCCTGTATCATTCAAAATTCACTTATTGGACCTGTTGTTATTTCCTCATGAAAAACACCCCAAAGTAGTTTTTGGCTTCATGCATGAATTTTCCCATCTCAGCTGCTTCTTCCCTTCAGCTCTGCAATTGACATATAAAGAAGATAGACAAACCCCACCCATTTCTGTCTGTGGTGCAGGTTTGATGCCAAATGGGAGGTTCCCACCACCGCCATTTTGACTGTGTCACACGTCTAGTCATGCCCAGACAATCCAAAGATGAGAACAGAGCTGGAGCTGAGGGTGGCGCTGTTACGGTTGGAACAGGGTTGGAGCAAATGAACCAAGAAGCTAAGAAGGAGCTCCGGGGTCCCACCTGCGCAGCTGCCTGTCTTCTGTGTGAGGCTGTCTTGCTGGTAACTTGTGGAACTATAATATGGACTGTTAAAGTACAAGCAGAGACTCAGACTGCTGCTATTTGAGCCGGTTACCCTGTTCGCTTACGAGAGGTCGTGCTCATCGGTGTGATCGGACATCAGTGGGAGATTAGCTAAGTGTTAACGCAAGCTAACGGTGGTTTTTCGAGCACTTGAACAAGACAAATGCGGTAAAGTGACTCCAAAATCAACGCTAAGAGCAGCGGTGTTTCTGTAATCTCTCTCAGAGAGCTCCACAGGTAAGCAGCACAACTATAACCCGGCACGGAGGCCTGGGGACGCGTAGCACATCTTGCCCTCCTGCATTAGTTTCTGATAGAATGCGGTGAAACTCTGGGATAGATCTACATCACACTGTCACTAAACATTCATGGGCTCACCCATCTTGACTCATGATGGGGAAGGTTTAGCATCCAGGAAACAGCAGAGAATGCAAGTAGAAGCTAACCGTTAGCATTAGCAACTTCAGCACACAGCTGAACTGCTTCAAGCTTGTATTTGTGGAGATTAAACAACAACACTACAAGTTCAGTGGTGGAGTTATGTTATCCAATCCGTGGTGAGATGTCCAAATATCAGGAAAAAAGACACCAAATCATGTCGTCTGAAGCTCAGCTGTCATGTGGCTCACTTGTGTAACGTCCAGCATTGGTCAGTTTTTAGGTTCAGTTTGACCATTCAACATCTGGTCAAAATGGAGACACGAGACTGCATGT